GCAGAAATCCCTGAGCTCAACTGAGGGTGGACGCTCTGCATTCCCTCGGTGCCTTTTTCCTATTCTAGGAATTCACCAATTCAAGGATACTACATGAAGCCAATGCTGGGGGACGCAGGTCCCCCAAGGGGGCAGACTCCCAGTCAGCTATGGAAGGGCATGATGCCAGCCATGCTATTTTGGCAGCACAGGACAGATCAACCCATTCCCTGATGCAGCACCCATCAATCAATTTTATTATGGTCTGGGATCAGCATGGCATGGGATTATTTTCTGTGTTTCCACTTTCCTGGACATACAGAATTAGCAAATGATCAACCAGCTCCCACCTTTGCTTTGGCACTGGATGGTGTTCGTGTGTGGGTGGGGGGGGCAGGGGAGTCACCAATGCATATGCGGAAAGGCATGGCTTCCAATCTGAAGGGAATGGGTGGAAGCTTCATGCTGGTAGAGCCCTCCCCTCCCTACCCAGCTCCCTGATTCTCAGGACAGAACCTCAGGAGCACAGTGGTCATCTTGACACCACCCATGCCTGGACTTCTGCAGCCTCAGTGAACATGTTTTGCATCGAGCATGAGATGCTGCTGTTGACATTCTTGAGCAAAAAGAGGTCTCAGGGGAAAACCCTCAAGGTTTGGAGAGAAGCAACATTAATCACTGTGATTGTGGTAATTTGTGAGCAGAATCCTCAACACTGTAGGGCTCGGTGCAGCTCCGGGAGCAGTGCAGGGAGGGGAAAATGTCTCTGCAAAGCTGCTGACCCCACCCTGGATTCCATGCAAGGGCAACAAATGGAGGATTTGGCTTTGTCAGGCCTTAGACAGAGACCCAATGCTAGCTGATGTGGACTAGCTTCTCCTTTACATTGTGGTAATGTGCTTCTCCTATATCAGGACCTGACTTCATTGTCCCACTAGTGTCTATTCTGATAAGTACCTCCCAAAAAACTCATTCTGGGAAATGTCAGAAAGCCTCAAAGGCAGACATGACATTCGATAACCAGGTTCACTTAGGAAAGATGCTTTTCACCTTGAACCATAGCAGTTTTATTGAAAGATCACCCAGGACCTCTGCAGTTACTTAGGACAGCATGCTACTAGGCAGTGGACTTCACCATCAACTACAAAGTCACAGCCCATGTACAGACCCTTTTATAACCTTCAAGTCACATACACCAGTACAGAGAGTTAAGCTTCCAGATTGTGGAAGCACAACAGCATCCTGATGTCTTTAGGCATGACATAAGCTCAGGTGACAGCGGTGGCAAGGAGCACTTTCTTTCAGCTTCGGCTGATACATCAGCTGCGCCTCTACCTGGAGAACGACTGCCTGGCGACAGTGACACACGCTTTGGTGACTTCCCGACTTGACTTCTGTAATGCGCTCTAGGTGGGGCTGCCATTGAAGATGGTCCAGATACTTCAATTGGTTCAAAATAGAGCTGCCAGGCTGCTGATGGGGACTGGGCATTATGTTCACATGACTCCAGTTCTCCGTCAGCTTCACTGGCTTCCCATTGAAGTCTGGGCCCAATTCAAGGTGTTGGTGATGACCTATAAAGCCCTTAATGGCTTGGATCCTGGTTCCCTGAAGGAGTGCTTACGTCCATATATGCCTGCCCGCCCCTTGAGATCAGCAGGAGAGGCCCTTCTCCCAGAACCCTCTGTGCAGGAAATTAGGAGGGTAAATACTTGGAGGAGAGCTTTCTCTGCGGTGGTGCCCAATCTATGGAATGCACTCCCCAGAGAGGTCCGCCTGGCGCCGTCATTATATGTTTTTCAGTGCCAGGTGAAAACCTTTTTCTTCAAACATTGTTTTAATTGTTAATATTATTTATTTTGGCCAGGGTGACTTAATTTATACTGTTAAATTATATTCTCTTATATGATATTTATTTATGTTTGTGAGCCACCCCGAGGCTTCGACGAATGGGGCAGCATAGAAGTTCCATAAATAAATAAATAAATAAATAAATAAATAAATAAAGTTCCAATCTGATCAGAAATACTGGTATCAATAAGTGAGAAACATTATTCATTACTTTATTGAGCTGTCAATTGAGTAGACCTCTTGGAGTTTGGATCCTGCTTAAACATGGAAATGTGTCTGATTGAGGAACCATTTGGGAAATCTGGTTTGACAACCACACTGTGCAACCGTTTGCCTCTGTGGGACTAGATGCTTAGGTGGGTCCATTCAGAATCAAATGGACAACATTGTTTCAGCTTTTCTGCAGCTGATGAGAGCACAGGTATTTCCTCAGAAAGCTGAGGCAGCAGAAGAGATCCTGAGGGAAGGGAAAATGAGGAAACTCCCTGGAACAGGGTAAAGGATGCAGAAGACCTAGAAAAGATGTCTCTGCACTAGTGGAAGCAGGTGAACTCTTGAATCACTTTAAGCAACTTGAGGAACCCACTGTGAAAGAGCTACACCATTGTTTCAGTTTTTCTAAAGTGGATGAGATCACAGGTATTTCCTCACTGACAGTGTTATCCTCCAGTAGCTTCTCAGTCCTGTTAAGAATCCCATCTTCTTAAATGAACAGCAGCACTAAACAGTGACCTGGCTTGAAATTCTGCTGCTTTGTGAAAAAAAGAAGTAGATTTGATTTTATACTACAAAGGCACATATAAGCAAACCTTTTCTGCCAGGATATATCTGAATTTTCCCAACAGAAACAAGGCTGAAATGGGTTTCTCATTCACTATTGAATGACAGGCTGCAAGGGTGGAGCCATAAAGAGAGGTTTGGACTCTGCAACCACAAGCTAAGCTTCCTGAAAGTTGGACTATTGGGCTACATCTCACAAAGTATGGGAAGCAGATGTTTGGCCACTACATGAAAAACTTAATCAGGAGAGCTTGAAACTAAAACCTATAGGAGTGGGAGATGTGCAGCATGGCATACCATCACCTGGCAGAGAATTTATATCTTAACAGAGAAAAAAACTCAAGCAGGGCCCAAAACCACTCTCCCAATAAACCTAGAAAGAAAACCAGGGCACGAGAACTAACTTGACTTTCTCTACACCAATTACCAGAGTACAGAAAATGATCAACATGAGCTCATAGTATATGAGGGCAGTTATGATTTTTTTGGGAAAAAACGAAAATTGATGGGATGACTCACATGACTAGAACTTGACAATTGATGCATACAACCCGTTCAAGAAAAATAGAAAGGACAAAGGAAGAATGATGTAGTCCACATGGGGGACATCCAGAGACTTTAGCACAGAACGACATATAAAAATGTTAAATAAATAAATAAATAAATAAATAACAAAAGAGCTAGTGGAGGAACTCTCAGAACCACTGGCTATCATCTTTGATAAATCTTGGAAAACAGAAGTGCCAGATGACTGGAGAAAGGCTAATGTTCTCCCTATCTTCAAAAAGAGGTAAGAAGATGAACCTGGGAACTACAGACAAGTTAGTCTGACATCAGTCCCTGGACAAATACTTGAACAAATTAAAAAAAAATCTATCTGCAAGCATTTTGAATGAAATGAAGGGATTAATATAAACAAGCATGGATTTATCAAAAATAAATCCTGTCAGTCTAATTTAATCTCATTCTTTTTCTGGGTAACCTCCCAAATTGACAGAGGGAACACTGTGGACCTAATCTACTGGGACTTCAGCAAAAGAAAAAGACATTGGAGTAATTCTGCACAATAGGCTAAATATGAGCAAAGACTGTTATGCAGCTCCCGAAAGGACAAGTGCCATTTTGGGATGCAATAACAAAATTATTACTTCCAAATCACAAGGAGTAGTAGTTCCCCTATACTCCTCACTAGTCAGATCTCATCTGGAATACTGAGCACCAAGATTTAAGAAGATGCAAAACAAATGCAAAAGAGGCGACAAAAATGATGGCTGTCAGTTTGCACCACACAGATTAATGCATGATGATGCATGATCAGATTTGTAAATGCAGATATGGAAATTGAAACGCCAAGCTCAGTGTCGAGCGGAATTCAGATCCAGGGGATCCTCTGTGGGATGACCATGAGTCATCTCTCATCCACACTATTCAGTCCAGGAGGAACTGGCTAAGGAACCAGGTTCTTCCAAGACAAAGAAGGCTTGGGCCAGCAAGATCACACAGCAACCCATCCAGGAGGAGATTGGTGAGGAGGACAGTCCTCCAATTCCTTCAGGGGACAGAACAGGTGATGTGTAGGTCCTTGTTCTTCTCCCTCTCCTTGGAAGCCTTGGGAAAAGAGGCAAGAGGGAGCCAGGGAGCAGCTTCCACACTGAAAGAGAGAAATTGTATTTGTACCAGAGATTTAGAAAAGAGATGGACTCATTCTGGACACACAATGTCTCGACCCTCAAGCTGTACGCACAAGTTCTGAACTCAAGCTTTACTGTTTTGGTTGTTTGGGAAAACACAGGTTCTAATCCACTTGAACCTCCAAACATGATCTTTCACTGGTCAGAGACATTGCAAATTTGTTGTTTAGAGCATAAAATGGAGAGGGAAATGACTCGTGAGCTACTTTGCCTACCATGCAAGAAGCAAGAAGGTGAAGAGTGCAAAGTGATTAAATGGTGGTGGTGGTGGTGATGATGATAGGATGTGTACTCAAATTCATGAGTGTGTTGACAAAAGTGATCTGGCAGTGTTGGCTGCATTATTATATATATTCTCCTTTATTTTTGCAAGCCAAAAGCCAAATCTCTCTGGATGGTTCACAGAAATTAAAAGCAGAAAAATACAGCCAGATGAAAAACATAAAACTTTCAAAACCTTCATACCTCAAATAAGAACCGTTGTAAATTTCAGCATGTTTAGAACAAAAAAAGAAGAAGAAGAAGAAGAACTTTGATGCATCAGAGAAAGCAAAAGAATACAAATGGCACTGAATCTCACAAAGTAGGTAGCCAGGTGAGCCTCTCTATAGGGCAGATTCGTCCACCTGGGAGCTACAACTGAAAAGACCATCCTATTAGCAGTTATCCAGGGTCCCACTCCCAAGCTATACACTAAAGTCAGATGGTATCCTTGCTTTTGGTCATGAGATGTTCCTTCGTATTCAGATCAGGCCTCAGGACAATGATGTAGCACTTGGGAAGAAAGATGCAGCCCAGCAACCCTGCACTGGAAGCTAAGATGGAGAAGACCTGCACAGCCACCATGTACTTCCCCTTGGTGCTGAGGTAGGAGGGCACAAAGGACACCCAGACACTGCAGAAAACCAGCATGCTGAAGGTGATCAGCTTCGCTTCATTGAAGGCCCCTGGCAGCATCCTGGCCGGGAAAGCCACTGTGAAACAGATGGCGGCCAGGAAGCTCATGTAACCAAGGGCTGAATAGAACATCATGAGAGATCCTTCATTGCACAGTAGGATGATGTGTCCAGGCTGGGATTGCATGTCAGAGTCTGGGAAAGGTGGAATCATGCCCAGCCAGATGGAGCAGATGACCACTTGAACACTGGAACAAGAAATGACAATGGCATTGGCCAAGCTCTTTCCCAACCACTTTCTTACTTTGTTCCCTGGCTTGGTAGACAGGAAGGCCAGTACCACAACGATGGTTTTGGCCAACACACTTGAGGTGGCAACTGAGAAGATGATGCTGAACGCTGTTTGTCGGAGCAGGCAACTGACTTTGCTTGGCTTGCCCAGGAACAAGAAGGAAGACAAAAAAGAAAGCAGGAGGGAGATGAGGAGAATGTAGGAGAGGTTCCTGTTGTTGGCTTTGACAATTGGAGTTTCTCGGAATTTAATGAAGATTCCAAACATAAAACCTGTGCTTAAAAGGCAAATTAGGGCAAATGTAGCCAGGAGAATCCCCAAAGGTTCCTCATAGGAGAGGAATGTAATTCTCTTGGGGCCACAGTGATCTCGGTCCTTGTTTGGGTGCTGATCTTCAGGACACCTGCTGCATTGCTCTGCATCTGGAAGGAAGGGAAGCCACTTCAGCATTGCCACCATCAATTCAGAACAGTATCTACTCCTTTGGTAAAGAAGGGGATGTGGGAGACATCACAATGTAATCATGTGTGATCTGAAGGGAAAGATGCCAATGTTTTAAGGGAGAAGACACACCTTTCGCTGCCAAGCATGTGTCTGTGGCATCAGTATCACACAAGGCCCTCTCATTGCAGGACATGCTCATTCATCTCTGAAGGACATCATGGAGCACCTGACAGTCAGAAGTAATGTGTCTACGGGAGCTCATTTAAGTGATGGTAAAGTTTTGAGTATTCTGGCTAAAGGGGCAGGGTATAAATCAAATATATAAATAAAAAGATTCTGGGAGTATATCTGTTTTTTTCCCATTTGCATCACCAAAACAAGTGGTTGTTGAACCCAGCTGAAGTGGCCTTCCTTCATTTTCTTTTAGTTCACTTTTATGCTGCCTTCTATGCAGAGCTGTGTAGGTGGCTTGTGCCAGTTACTAAAGAGGATCAGGATCATGCAGAATGTCTGGAAGGGCTGCTTGTACAGCAAGATCACAGGGATGATTGAGTGGAGATGGTTGGGGCTACACCTGGATACTTTCTCCAGTTCAAAAGCTATCCTGCACCAATAATTTCTAAAAATGAACATCAATTAAATCCTAAGAAGAAGAGGACCATCAGAAGTGAGATGTTGGAAAGAACAAAAGCATCAACACTGCTCAAATGGCTGAGCAAATAGAGATGGCTTCCCCTGCTACTGGGATCACATCACCTTTGGCAGTGGGTGAGTCATCTGAGTGGGGTGTTCCATTGGAGGTGGCCACAACTGAAAAGGCTGTAGCTTGCTCAGTAAACTTTCTTTTCAGATCAGTATCAGGACAGTACCCAAATAAACATAGAGAGTTTGGACAGACTCAGCCATTTGCCCTTTGCCTGAAGGGAGAACCGTTTCCTTTGTGGAGACCCACCTTCATGAGTGGAGATGGTCCCTTCTGCACATGAGGCGCAAGCGTAGCAGCAGGGTGGCTTCCCTTCCTGAGCCCTCCTGGAATAACCTGTGCGACAGCTCTCCACGCACCTGGAATGGGGCACCACCTAGCAGTGAGGAGGAGGAATGTGAGAAATCCATTTCTCAAAAGTGAATCACAAGGTTTGAATGTTCCCAGTGGGAAATCTAGTCCCAGTGACAGCCATCCCCCTTTTGAAATTATTTTTGAATGTGGCTAAAGTGAGCATAGAAACAGAGCGAGTCAGAAGGGGCCTCCTGAGCCGTCCAGTCTGACCCCCAGCTCCAGCCAGCTCTGCTCATGTCATGCCCACCATGTGCATGTCTAGCCCTCATGTGCATGTCTAGCCCTTCTGGCTATGATTTTTCGTGGTATCCTTTTTGTGAAGGCAATGCAGATTCCATGAGGGATCATCATTGGGACCACCGACCTCACAAACTTTTCTCCACATTCAGTGTCTGGGGCAAAGAAACCAATCCATGTCCAATGAAAACTCACAGCCAGTTGGATGATGCCCACGTATTGGGTTTCTTCCTTTGGGGTCATCTGGTAGATGAATGGCAACTGCATGTGATCCTCCGGAACAGGGTTAAACAAGCCGTAACTGATCTAATAAAGAGAGGAAGTGCCTGGTAGTTTGCACTCTTTTCTTTAGCATTAACATCAGAATCGTATGAACATGAAATCTCTAACTAAAGGCCCATCAGAAGAGAAGCATAAGTTGAAGAAGAAGGGAGGGACAAAACATCTCAACATCTCCTCCCTACACTAGCTATTCAAAATTTGTTTGGGGATGTGGGGCCCTTCTCTGCAGGGAAACAAGACCTGTCCCAACCCCACCCTAGCCTGGCAAATGCCAAGACAAGAACAGTAAAAACTAGACTAGATTAGTATCCCAAGATGACTCTTTTCCTTTCATTTTTGGAAAGAATAGTTATTTTCTCCTTTTTCAAAGCACTCGGCTGATGGAAGTAATGAAATAAGTTATCCCTCAATGATCAAAGTGCTGTGATAGCAGAGTCCTTTTTAGAATGCTACCTTGTGGCATTCCAGTGGCTCAGACTTTGATCTCTGCAGGATTTCCCTTTCTTGATTTTTTATAGCTCACAGACCAAGAAGGATTTGAAATGCCTTTGGCTGAGATTTCAGTTGACAAATATTATGTATTCTGCCTTTCCACTTCCTAAGCTGTAAACAAAGTGTTTTTCACATTGGGATACTGTTTCAGGACCAAAGTTTTTTGATTTAACAAGTACAACTTTTTGTTCTTCACAATGTACTTGTGTCCTTGCTATATGTTTTCCACATGTATACACATCTGCATGGGTCAACATAAAATGACATCCTGCAATTAGCTTTTTGCAGAATTTCTGTATTCCTCAGTGGGAGAAAGGGCTTATGGAAATGCGCTTAGCTGAGCCAGTGCAAGCTGAATTTGGGTGCAGCTGGCCTCTCTTCCCCTCCCAGAGCCTACCTGAGGAATCTTGTAGATACCTGACATGACTGAAATAAGAGCAGAGACATCTGAGTCTGTTCCTTCAAGAATGGCCAGCAGGTTCTTCTTCCCACAGCCAAAGTTTGGAAGGTAGCCATCTCCACCAGAAGGCAGATGTAGCATGGCATATGTAGTTGTTCTCCCATCAGAATGGCTCTCATAGATGTCATAGCCCAGGCTGACGTTCGGTAAGAGGCTGGGATTCTGGTTGATTTCATGGATGGAAAACAAGAAGGACAACATGCGCCAGTGCCTCACTTGTAGGAAACTGCAGTGCAAGAATTACAGAATCAGGATTCATTCTATGAAGAGGAATCAGAGGAGATTCTAGATATATAAAGAGAAGGATTCATTCACACAGCACACACTGAAATGATGGCTTTCACTTGCTGCAGGTGTAGCCATGGCTAGGAATCTGTTGGATTCCCTGGTCATGACTTCTGGAATTTACTCTCCCTTTCTCATCAGCCCACAGTGTAAGTTTGCATTTGCAAGATGTTCCACATGAATACAATCTTATGTGCTGCACAATCAGTGAGGTTCTTCCATGCTCAACACTGACACCAGCAACAGTGAGTGGGGAAGTAGAATGGATGGTTTCCCTTTTGAGTCAGCTTACTTTGCAGGCCCTGTTGCAAAATTTAGGCTTAAACTGAAGAAAGTAGGGAAAAGCACAAGGCCACTCAGGTTTGACTTAAATCATGTTCCTGCTGAATATACAGAAGAGGTGACAAATAGAATTAGGAATTAGATCTGATAGAGTGTCTGAGGATCTATGGATGGAGCTTTGCAACATTGTACAGGAGGTAGCAACTAAAACCATTGCAAAGAAAAAGAAATGCAAGAAAGTAAAATGGCTGGCCAGGGAAGCTGTACAAATAGCTGAGGAAAGAAGGGAAGCAAAAGGCAAGGGAGAAAGATACACCCAATTGAATGCAGAATTCTGGAGAATACCTAGAAAAGATAAGAATACCTTCTTAAATGAACAGTGTAAAGAAACAGAAGAAAACAATAGAATGGAGAGGACCTCTCCAAGAAAAGTGGAGACATAAAGGGAACGTTTCATGTAAAAATAGGCATGATAAAGGACCAAAATGGCAGGGACCTAACAAAGGCAGAAGAGATTAAGAAGGGGTGGCAAGATTACACAGAAAAACTATACAAGAAAGAACTTAACGTCCCTGATAACCATGATGGGGTGCTTCCTGACCTTTAGCCACACATCTGGGAATGTGAAGTGAAGTGGGCTTTAGGAAGTCTGAGCAACAACAAAGCTAATGCAGGAGACAGTATTCCAGCTGTCCTATTCAAAATCCTAAAAAACGATGCAGTAAAAGTGCAACACTCATTATGCCAGCAAATTTGGAAAACTCAAGTGTTCACACCAACCCGTCAGGGCCACTAACCTTGATTACTTTTCCAGGATGCATTCCTGGAGGCTCTATGTTGCCTCTTTTATCAAAGGATGGGGTTGGGATGAAACTTCTCAGTATCCATCCTCTGAGCATGTGCAGGCTTCCAGTTGTGCTCTGCCTGTTCTTCCTTGCTATGCTTACCTGAGAGGATGTCCATGAATGCTTGCAACCCCCCCATTATGTAACCTTCTTCATCCCTTGTTACTGCTTCAGTGAAGCTGCTCCTGGCCTGTGAGAGGGATGCTGCCAGCAGTCATGGGGCCACATTCCCAGTGAACCCCTCACCACTGCCTCTTTTGGCATCAGTTGCAGCCTCTAGAAGGGCAGCTGTGCTTGGTGTGTGAGGGGGTGCTGCTTGCTCAAATGTGGGGTTCAGTTCCTGTAGACTTTCTCACAAAGCAGGGCACACTCATTAGGAACTTGGAATCTGGGCTGCTGCAAAGTATGCTGGAGTGTGGGGATCCAAACCCAAGGATCGTGTTGGATTTCTACCCTTCCACCTGATTGCTTACACATCTCTATCAGAGGCAGGGTCATACTTCCTACTTTTAGGTATTCCCACTGGCACCCGGTTCCTACGGCCTATATCAAAAGCTGGCCTAGATGGACCATTGGTGTGGTGCATCATGGTTGTTCTTATATTCATGTCTTCTTGTGCTGCTGAAGGTTACATTAGAAAGCCCAACTGGTGATGCACCCCAATCCCCTGAAGGAGTTGCAGAAAATATTTGCACCTCAAATATTCACAGATACACATAATTATCTCAATCTACAGCTGCACAAGGCTGCAGAGAAAAGACCTGCCTTTCACCCCTGAAGTAGGGAGACTGACATTAATTTTACCCCCTGGCAGAAGTATTTGAGCCTTTCATCATTAGCATGGGAATCGCAGACAGAACATTCATCTGGCTGATCTTTTCCAGCAGCATATGTCAAGGAAGCACTTGAGAAGCGAGATCCTCTTTCATCCCCAAGATGCCAAGGGGAAATACTTGAAGGAAATTGTCCCACCCTCATGCCAAGGAAAATAGCTTGGCATTCTCCCTGCCTGACTTCTCCACAGATTGTCCACAATTGTTTTTGTGCTATCTCATTTAGAAGAGCTGACATTTAAAAGGCATCCAACTCATTTGCTACTGCACAATTGGCAGTGAGGCAGGGGTGGCAGGGAGCCATACAATGGTTGCAGTGATTCGAGCAACTCCAAGGAAAAGCCCCCTTGGATGCAGCCTGGATCCTGCCCTGCCTGTTAAAGCAAGCAGATGTTTCTCCTTAAGGCTGAAACCATGCAAGTGGTGGCCAGACAGATGTGAGCCTGCTGTACTTGATCCTCCCAATTTTCCTTCAGAAAGCACAAAATGGACAAAATGCAGAGAAGAAACACCAAGGGGAGGACCACAGCACCAGAATTATAGGCTGTCTCCCAGAGAGAGGCAAAAGTGGAGTGCAGATCGGCAAGCATGTGGGCATCATGACTTACCTCTCCCTCCGCATTACTGGTGACTCATGAAAGACATAGGGTGGCTGACGGCTAAAATACTGTGAAGTAACAACGCCACTGATCAGGTAGTCTCCTGAACGATAATAGTTATATGCTCCTTTTCTAAACATATTCTCAGGACAATTTGTCTTCTGCATCTTGGAAACTGCATGAGACAGCAGTAGAAGCAGCAGAAGCACTGGCATTGGGATACTTTGGCTAAATTCCTATATACCTGTGTGCCTACTCTTCTCACCCACTGAACCAGCTCAACCAGAAAACTCTGCCTATGCAGTCCAAGAGATAAAATAACTTGTGAACCCAGGGAGCTTTTCTAAACAGCACACAGGCACCATCCCTGAATCTTGCAGCCTGTCCTCAGCCTCAGCCCCGGTCCTCAAGAGGACTGCAAGGTTGCCTTGAAGCCACTTCCTCAATCACAAAGCATCAGGTCTCCTGACATTGCCCTTGATTTTGTAAGTTGGTTTTTTGGCTCAAGAAAAATCTGAAGGTGTTCTCTAGTGCATTGACCGGAACAATTTCAATCATTCTACTTTTAATCATCCAACAGGAGAGCGATATCCTCACTGCTGCTGGACCCATTGAATGTCTCAAGGCACAGAGGGAGAAAAACATGTAGTTAGTCCTCTTTATGAGGCTGCAAATTTCACAATCACAGGGATTCGGACATGGGAGCTTAGCAATACCCCTGTCAGAGACCCACCTTCCAAAGAGGCCATATGGTGACCATCTTTTGATATTCCTGCTGTGGGCAACATATGACCCTCTGCAGATTTATTCATTGTTTTGATTGATAGCCATGTTGGATTCCTAAGCTGCTAAAGGTGGACCTTTCCCTCCTTCTCCCTAGGCAAGCTAAGCAATGGATTGTTCTGGTAATGACTATGCTTGGCTGAGGTCTAGGGGTATCCACCCATGTAGCGGCCTCCTGCTATGGCTAGGCCCAGTCTTGGAAAATGACCCAAGATTGGAGGAAGTCTGCAAACACTCACAGAAGGATGCTTATATAACAGGGAGGTGGACAGAAGGGGGATGCTGCTTAGGCTGTAGTGTCAGGATCAGCGCCGAAGTGATCTGCAAGTGCTCACCCAAGCAGGAGCACCTTTGTTGTCACTTGCAAGGAACACCTGTGGTGCAATTATGCAGTGCACCTGCAGACCCTGAAGACCAGCTAAAAAGGCTTCTGTGCACTGCAGCTCCACCCCTGTGGATCAACTCACAAAAGCTGGGCAGGCATTCAGAGTTCGGATGCCACAAACTGAACCAGAGTACAGAGGCCAAAGCAGGGTATCCTTTGGATTCCTTGGCCAATGGCAGTCTACTGATTTCTCAAAAATTCCTAGAAACAACCAAAGGTGCACAGCTATCAAGCTTCTTCCTCCTCTACCCCTTGACATCATTCGGGAAGGAAGATGCAGCCAAGTAAACCAGCACTGGAGGCCAGGATGGAGAAGACCTGCACAGCCACCATGTACTTCCCCTTGGTGCTCAGGTAGGAGGGCATGAAGGACACCCAGATGCTGCAGAAAACCAGCATGCTGAAGGTGATCAGCTTGGCTTCGTTGAAGGCCCCTGGCAACTTTCTGGCAATGAAAGCCACTGTGAAGCAAGGACACCCATGTAGCAAAGGACTGTGTAAAACATAGCCACAGAACCTTCACTGCATTGTAGAATTATCTCTTCAGGCGAGGAATGCAAGTCAGCATCAGGAAAAGGTGGAGCCATGCCCAGCCAGATTGTGCAGATGGCAACCTGAACACTATTACAGAAAATTACAATGGAGTATACAAATCTTTTCCCCAGCAATCTCTTCGCTCTGTTTCCTGGCTTGGTGGCCAGGAAGGCCAGCACCACAGTGATGGTCTTTGCCAGCACAGAAGACATGGCAACAGAGATTATGCTGAAGGCAGTTTGTTGCAGCAGGCAAGTTGCTTTGCTTGGCTGCCCAATGAACAGGAGGGAGGACAAAAAGGAAAGTAGGAGTGAGACCAGGAGGACATAGGACAGATCCTGATCGTTGGCCTTCACTGCTGGAGTTTCTAGGAATTTGATGAAGATTCCTAACACAAACGCTGTCATCAAAGAAAAGATGAGGGCAAATAAACTCAGAAGGATACCCAAAGGTTCTTCATAGGAGAGGAAGGTTATCTCCTTGGGGATGCATCAATTTTGGCCTTTGTTTGGGTGCTGATCTTCTGGACACCTTCTGCAATGCTCTGCATCTGGAATGTGAGTTCAGCATTGCCACCGTCAGTGGGACATGCAGAACATCCTGAGTTCTTCTTATACGTAGTGAAGATGGGAATGTGGGAGATGTTGGGGAAGAA